ATTCACCCATTCATACCATACCATCATTGTCATTCACCCATTCATACCATCGTTGTCATTCATCCATTCATACCATCGTTGTCATTCATCCATTCATTACATCATTTATACATTCGCTTATTATCTGAATCCAGGGTCAAGTACTATAGTCACTGACACTCACGAGTGATCTAACGATCAGCGATGATAGCGATGAAGACGTTTAAGTGAAAGATTATGAAGAAATTGAATGAGAGGCAGAGGGAAACGAGAGAATCTCAAGAAAACTTACCGAGAGTTCGCTTTGCCCATACATTCGACACTAGTTGGTCGGGGATCGAAATGGCCCCGGTCGTGGAAAATGTTTGTGCTAGCCAATAGTATGCCACGTGTCCTACCTCCGCTCCTGATGAGATCGCGTACTCGCTCATCGAAGAATAGTCGCAACGGATTGAAAAGGGGATGTGAGTAAGTGAGGGGTAGTTGTTATGAATATGGTAACTCACAAGAGACTCGTTTTAATATCAATAACGAATAACAAAGCTTTCATTTTATTCGAAATTTCATTTTAAGAATCACTTCGCACCATTCTCTACAGACATTTCTCATCAACTCGAAAACCTGAACGTGTAGCATCATCTCGAAAACCTGAACGTGCAGCATCATCTCGAAAACCTGAACGTGCAGCATCAACGCGAAAACCTGAACGTGCAGCATCATCTCGAAAACCTGAACGTGCAGCATCAACTCGAAAACCTGAACGTGCAGCATCAACTCGAAAACCTGAACGTGCAGCATCAACTCAGTATTAAAAATCGGAGATTCTGACGTAGTTCAAATTCCTATAGACACGACCCACAGAACGCGACGTGGTAGAAGTTGGTCGCGCACGTACTCCATAAGGCAACTCCACTTGCAGTGAAGACGTATTGCGAACCAACTCATGGTCACTTTCACGAAGTATCAGGAGTAAAAACGCTAGTCCTAATACATTGGTTCATATACATGGACAAAAAGTAATTATCAACGAAGTCCATATTGAATGCAATGTACAGTTTATTTTACATGTACTGTAATGATGTGTTTAATGTTTATCACGCGAAAAATCTTTCCACACATCTACACTAAGCGTTGATCGTTGCATGGGCCGATTAAAGAATTATTATAACGAGTGTATGCCACCACTCCATTATAATTATTAAAGAGTTATTTCATTGTATTTTATAAACGTAACCTCTGAGTATATTATCCTCTAGATCTGCCCACCACTTTTTGGTTTAATTACCCTCTGGCAGAACCAGAGGAAAATATACTCAATTAAACTAATGACTCTTATAAGCTAAAATAATTATTCGTTGATATACCGGCGAGGGATTGCTAGCATTGTATAAACAAATGAAATTGATGACTTTAGAGTTTTTATTATTAATGAGAAAACCAACTTTCACTGGCTTAACCACCTTTGCTTGATTCTTAAGTCCCACGAGAGAGATATCAAAACTCATCAAGAGATGATAATCTACTTAATACAAATCTTGAGAGCCGACGTCGTTAGGGTAGGAGCACCATAACGTTTTGGACTCCAGAAATTGTGTGTTAAAGAGTCCCGTTTCGGCCTTATAGTATATCCTTAACAACCTCGTAGCTTTTTAACAGTATCCGAAGAGCACTTTCTAAGCGGTACATCATATTATATATTGGTAATAGTATAACTTTGAATAAATGTATCTTGTTCAATCATTCTAAAACAAAGACCAAAGAATAATATACAACTAATTATTTCTGTAAGGTTAGGTTGTCCAATCAAATACAGTCATGTACTTCTGATACACAGAGTGTCTCAGAATAAATAGCAGAAACATTTGGGGAGTCGAACGTTCGAAAATGAACACTTTTGCCAATAAACATATAATGGAAAATTACATTTAAAGGGCATCTGCCCCTGAATGTTAGGCAATATCTTATACACATGTGTTTTGCAGATCACGTTCTGGCGCAATTAAGTACATTCCATGAACCTGCCGAACACCATACATATGAGTTTCCCAACATTTAGGACAAATATCGCATGTGTAACTTCGCAGTTCATGTTCATTGGCCAAAAGTCACTTCCTACTACTCTACGGCCCCAGAAACTTGCAACATTTATTCTGAGACACACTACATGTTTGCACAATATTATGTAATAAAAACCAATAAGTGTCTGTTTATTTAGTCAATAACTTTCAAAATACAGGTAAATCAAATTCACTAACTTATATATTTATTGCACTATTTACTCAATCATTGAATTCCTTATTGTCCTTATTTACTACGGTTTCTCCTGCTGCCATCGCGTGAGCGCGGGGGCGTACTCACCCAGTCGGCGAACTGCAGCTGGCCCAGGTCGGCGCACGCCTCGGCGCGCGCCTGGAGCTCCCCGGTGCCCTCGGACACGCGCTCCAGGAACGAGGCGAGCTCCAGCGCCTCGGCCACCAGCGCCCGGCACACGGCGCGGTAGTGCGCGTCCGCCTGCGCCGCCGACGGCGGGCCCAGGTGCTGCACGCAGTACTACGGGCACACACGCGGTGCACGGGTCACTCACTGGGCAGCGGGTGGCAGGGTTTGAAAGGAACTTTAAGTACTACGGGCAACTACTACTATACCAGTTCTCGTATTCCGAAGTGTACACAGGGGTCATAAGGATGGAATCTCACATAACGCGTGGCTGGAAGTAGTAAAGAAAGTTAGGATAAACGTACGAAGAACGTGTGCTGCACGCAGTACTACGGGCACGCACGGGTTGCGAAGGTTACCCAGCGGACACCCGGTGGTAGGGATGGTTTCTTAAATAAGGGGGTGTGAAAATCGTGAGGGAACCTAGGATGGACGCTTGAGATGAAAGGAAAGTGATGTACTATGGGTAACTACTATACCACTACTCGGATTCCGAAGTGTACAGGAGGGTCGTAGGGATGGAATCTCACAAAACGCATGACTGGAAATAGTAAAGAAAGCTAAAATAGACGTACGAAGAACGTGAAAGGACGCAGTATGAAGATCATGTGCTGCACACAGTACGACGGTCACGCCAGTGATCGGGGTACGAAGTGGACACGAGGGAGAGTGGGCTAGTGGCAGATGTATGAAAAGGACGGCACCTCACAAAACACGTGACTGAAAGTATTGATGCAAATTAGAAAAGACGTACGAAGAGCGTGAGAAGAGAGAGTTGCACATAGCATTATGGGTACACCGTCTCTACAGTTATCGACACATGGGAGAGAAGTAAAAGAAGTATGGAATTTTATGGAATTCAACGTTAATATGTTATGACAATTTAAGAGACGGCAGGTGTATTTTTCGTGAATGTAAATGGCATTTTAGCAAACAATTAAGTTTCGTAACAATGAAAGACTCTCCTTCACTTTCAATCTTGTTTGATCAGAGATAATAATCAATAGAAATAACGAATAAACCCAAATAACTTTAGTCCAAAATAGGGAAAGCAAAAGTACACGCTCACTATTGTGATGCTACTAAAAAATGTACAAATTATTTTTTTTTCGAAATTTTTAAATTTAAAATTATTTCCTCCAGTTATCGCATGTGTACTCATGTACCGGAATCACAAAAAAGCACAATTATTTATGAGAATTCAAACTCTTGGAGTGGTGTGTGTCCATTTCGTGACTCTCTACCCTGCATGGAGATATCACGAACTCCAGAAACATGAAACAAACATTAACAGTGCTGCCACCTTACTGTTACTGCCACGCGATAAATTTAATTTCATAGATTTCTGGTTGTGTTGTATACGTGCAGACGACACGAAATTCTTTTGAAGGATTACAATTATGTGTTATCGTGACTTGATTCGTAGACGTCTCACCCTCTGACATATTTGTTAGAGAAGTAACATACAAGACACTCTTGAGCCCCTGGAAACTACGTATAGGATCTATAAAATACTATCCGTTTTATTCGAATTGCAATTAGAAATTACTGAATTTATAAAACGTATATCTATTTTTAATTAAGGAATACGGGTTATTTTCGTAAATCTATCCTGAAGTATTCGTATCCGCAAGTTTTCATGCAAATTAAGGCCGATGGAAAGTCGTTTACAAAGAAGATTATTTGACCCCATTTACCTATCTACTAGTAAAAGTTGATTCCTACTGCTAATATCAGGTTACAAAATTAACTTGAAATGCATTTTTCTTACAAATTACAATGAAAGTGAAAATTTAAATCAGCGTGCCTAATGTTTCTTCATTTCTTGCTTCTCAAAATGAATATAATTTCTACTCAATTCAATTCAAAAACTGCAGCTTAATTTTCATGAACTGCATCACAGGTGTAGATCTCACTTCTGCGTATAATTCAGTGATTGAAGACTGCAAAATACATACCGTTAAAATACAGTCTAACACTTGCTAACTCAAGTGCGTTCCACCATGTCATTCTTATTAATTTCTCCAAAGCATGCTTTCGCCAAGTACATCACGGCGATATGCATGTTTTGTTTACTCAAAAATGCCACATCATTACGAAATCGCAAACATTTATGGCACATATAGTTTACTAAAATAATTTCCCCCTTTCGTGTCTCTGTTTCAAACTCGTATTGTGCAACACGTTTTTCGAAAAGTTTAACTGAAAGCATATTTAATTATGTTATTCATTCTGTACTTTCATACGTCACTGACAATCTTCTCGATGTAAGTTAACATAACGAAACATACAAAATTACCATCACTACTGAAGCAGTAGCTCATAGTGAAGAATTGTATCTTTAATATAAATGTTTCGGATGTTTCAATTTTCGTTTGTGATAATGTTAAGTAAATTACTTGTCACAATAAATAATGTTAAGTAAATTACTATTGCTGTGAATTATTACCTATTTAAATTGATATAAGGTTTTTCAGGAGATCTTGTCAAAATTCGGTTGGGTGACTGCATGATACTTGCAGAGAACTATACACAACGTCGTTAGATTTCTTAGCTTATCGTCTAGGAAAGTGTAATTTTGTGCATCAAAACAAGAGGTTGTATCCACAAGGAAAAATCAAATTTTCTCAAGTACGAATTACGCCCCTGGGGTTCTTACGCAACAGTTTGTTTACTCCAATGTCGCATATGAAAATCATTTTGAATGTACTGAATTACGATCTATCTCGCCCTCTCTATGTTACTCTAACATCCAAGCTAGTATTTATGGGGGCAGATGGGGAAGACGTGGGGTAGCACATTTCAGAGAGCAACAGGGCCTAAAAGAATTGCGGGTCAATATGATTCGCGAATATGTAAAAAAAGAGAGAATACGCTTATTTTTTAATATCAGACACTTCAAATATTCCCATAGAAAAGTTCTTCGTTCATTGTAGAAGCATTGATTCAGATTTTTCAGTCTATCACTCTCAGATTATAATGAACGACTCGCCATATAGGTCGTAATTGATCGGACTATATACCGCAACATTCACATTATGTCCCAGAATAAGTGTTACAAACTTCTAGAAAATATAGAGAGTAGAATATCACTTTTGACAATAAACCTGTGGAGGGAAACGTCCAAACAAAGTTATACATGAAATGTTTAACATCGCACCCCAAATCGGAAGGCAGGGCATTATATATTAAAGTTTAGCATAAATCGTTCTGACGCAACGATATTTGTTTACCTGCCAAACACCAGTGCATGATGAGTTTCCTACCAATCAGAGGCACAACTTTCAAAATTGCTTAAGCGTAACTTTCAACATATGATTTTTCCACTATATATTTGTTGACAAATAGTGATTATCTCCGCCCCTACCAGTCTTAGAACGAGGAAACATTTATTCCGAAATGTCCTGTACGCTCAGTATTACACGGGACTTGCAATACGAAGGGTTGGGTGTGCGCGTCTTACATCATAGTAGCAGCTGATATTAAATTTGCAGAAGCGCAGTGTTTATTGAGCTCAGGACTAAACTGAGACCAAGTTCGTCCTCCGCCTTTCTGGGGATGAGCCACTCACCTCGAGCACGCGCGCCAGGGAGACGGCACCTGCCGTCGGGTCCTCCTCCACATCGCCAGAGTCGCGTTCGATGCCCTCGTCGTCCGTCTCCGGATGGCGCTCGGGAACCTCATCTGGAACGCAAGACACGAGCAGGTGATTAATTAGTATTCCGCCCGCCCGTTAACCACTATGGATCCGGCGGCGGCGATGTGTAACGGTAGCGTTGTAGCCTAAGTTGCGGTTCTAAAACCCGATCGATCAGCCGTTATTTTTAAGCGAAACAAATCCTTCATCCTTCGAGGAAAGTAAAGCCGACTGTCCCATGTTAGTAGATTTTACTTGCATGTAAAAGAACCCTCAAGCCTAAATGACGCTTAAGCTAAAATTCAAATAGCCCAAGATTCCTCTTTCCCGCTAGTTGGTGAAAAGGAGCGGTAGCAAATTTGCGTGTCGGACAGGAAGAGCAGGCCTAATGGGATCTCGCCACGAAAAATAAGGTCATTCAATTCAATTCAATTAATGGTCAATTTCTTCGTAAGAATACTGGCGTGTACATCCCGAAGAGGCTGTGTCCCTTGCCCACTGTAAGGTAAGATCCGTACTTGAACTACTCGTACACATCGATCCGGGGTTTCTTTCTACAGGCATATCTCCATCGGGATATGCAACAAGCAGGCACCTCCCCAACTGGACAAGTCTCTGAGCTGACCAAATTGCTCAATCTCAGCGTGTGTTGGTGTGAAAGGTCGTTGGGTGGGTGGTGGTGGTGGTGGTGGTGGAGTTACGTGAGGATGTAAGCATGCATGTTAAGGGAGAGAGAAAAGATAAGTGAAAAATTGCTCACGGTCCGTGACGATGGTACTGCTCCAGCATTTGCCTGGTATGTTTTTCAAAAAAACTATCAATCAGAACAGAGGGCCGCAAGAATTCTTCTCTACGCAGTGGTTAAATTCGACCCAGCTATATTGGGAGGGTCAAAAATCTGACACTGTCAGGTGGACCCAAGCAAATGGACTGCTTCATGCATTGGAATTCACGCATTGATGGAATTCGAAATGTAGAAATTGGTGAGAAAAGAAAAGTTACAATGAAATCATAAAAATTTAAAAGAAGAAACTAACATGACCACTGTGGTAGATATTCAGCAATACGAATACAACAAACGTATTTAAAAGAACAATAGGAATAATTTGGAAAAAGAGATCTAGGATGCACTCTAAAGATATACGAGACAATTTAATGAATACGTTACAGGTTATTAAACACTAATCACGTAAAAAGAAAAAGAAGAAAAAGAAAGAGGAGAAAGTGAAGAGAGGTAAAAACAGATTCGGAAGAGCTTATATTCCACAATGTCGTATGTCGCACTGGCATACCCAAAGTAGGTCATTGTAATTCTGGTTGAAGTTTTTTCAACAATTAGAAGCTTAGATGGTCATACATTTATGACATGCGGTGAAATACACGAACATATTTCATATATTTTAATTACGACTGCGAACGATTATCTATAAGTGAAAGAAAGATAGGTAGATCAGTAAAGGATTCGTTACATGCATCATTGTAAGCTCCTAGAACTGTGGTGACAACACTGTTCTATTATGTTCACTTTGGGAAACATCACTTTCATGTTTGAAAAGTGGTGGTGGTTCAATTAATTAGAAGCAAGTCACAAATATTAAGTGAAACTCGTTAAAGAACAAATATGTTTTTCCTATTTAAATATCGAGTTTTAATTGATGTGTATAAACCGACTAGTTTAAAACGCTCCACTTGTATTGTATCATTCGCATCTGTCTGACGTGAGAACAATTTTTCGTATCAATGGAAGTGACTAGCAAGTGGCGGCAATTATTTTTATCAGATCTCAGTTATTAGCAGTTGATTTATTGTAGGTAATTACGCAGAATTTATGTATTGTAATACTTTGGGTAGTATTTTATTAATTAACTCGAAAATTTATTTTAAGCTAGTAAAGAACTTTTTCTACGTATCGTTTCTACGTAGCATACAAAAATAAATTTATTTTTTACAGATCATTCTCCATCATCCTATTTGTTGTGAACAAAAAGTTATGAAGTGTACGCTCAGTTTCTCATCCATTACATTGATCTCTTTCGAAAGTTTGTTCCTCAATACATCGGCAACACTAAAAGTTATAACTAGAATATTATAGGCTTCTACGTCAGTCAGAATACGTGATTTATTCATAAACTTGCAAAACTCCTTCCCTTACAGGACTGTTCTCAACCGCTGAATATGGCGTAAGTTTTAAAACATAGTGGATCCTTCATAGTTTCAGATCTTTCACGAAGCAATCTGATTGCTAGTCGTTCGATTCTTGAGAGAATTAAAAGTAGATGAAAGGAAAAGCAGACCTTCCAGCTGTGTTCTGGGTCCTGCACATTCTGCATCTGGACCGGAAGGGAGAGTTTCTTCATTTCCTCGACACGCAGCATCAGAAGAAGAGAATGAAGCCCTAGCGCATCTAAACTGTATTCTTTAATGCCTACAATTGTTGAAACACAGACGAACAACGCATATTATTCAATCACCTGATGCAATTACATTTTAAAAATTCTTTTGTATTAGAAAATGGCATTCATATTCTAGAACGATCCGATGTTGATAAGTAAAGGGAAGTGTATTTCACAAATCCAATCCCAGGTATGAAAAATGTTTTACAATTTGACTATTGACTCTATTGACTATTTGACTCTCATTATCTATCAGCAGGAAAATATCAGATGTTACCGTCTCCGCAATACGCACTAAATGTACTTTGTATAATTTTGTCCACACGAACTAACTCTATCGGTATTAAAGCTATTGAAAGGTTTTGTTGAAACTTTACGTGAAGAAATAGATAAAAAGCAATCGAATGTCCAAAATAGTGAAAAATAACAGCAAAACAATTTTGAAAGAAGGTCAGCGAGTCTATTGCAAAAAAAATTAAGTTTCTGAAATAAAAATTCTTTTTAATGTTTTCGTTAATGCTTTTCAATTTTGTTTTAATTTTAAGACGCATAAACTGCAAGAGACATGAGCGACGCGACTAATACATTAAATTCAATTACAAACCTGTGAAAATATCAATATATTTACAAAACTGTATCACAGTTTCTTAAATACTCGATGATAAAATGACATTGAATTTTTCATTGTAAAGTTCTATTTTAGTACTACATATTTCTTTTTGCTCAATACAATTTAGACGAAACATTCAAATTACATTTTCTGTGTATAATGTCCTTGCTTATAAGAAATCGTTTCAAAATGCAGTTACATTAATACTTTTAGTAATGTTAAAATAACAAAATCTATCTTTATCGTTATATTTTATTGAAAGTTCTTTTGATTTTATTAACATATTTATTTGAGAAACGATCGTGCTAAATAACAATCGACCATTGAAATTGTTTGATAAATCTACTCGCCGCTTCATATTTGTGGATTCTTCGAACTTTGTCGTTGCTCTAATGATATTAATAATTATGATAGACGTGTTTTAGTCCTTTAAACATATTAGAAGCAAGACAATATCAATATTGGGCAAGAAGTTACCAAATGGTTCCAAGCAATAAAATGTTGATCCACAAAGAAATCGTGAGCCTATAACCAAAAAGTGTCATCTTCCACATACCCAAACAATAATTTACAAGATTCAAATTAAGTATTAAATACAAGTTTGGCTTCTTAATACACGTTTAGGTTGAAAGTCTTCTCAAATTGACATCAAGATGTTAAGTAGTGTGTGCAATGTATGTTGCATTCCCAGAGTTGTGAAAAGCGACGTCGGATGTGACGCCGTGCTCATATAAAGAAGAAAGTGTAGAGGGAAATACAAAACAGCTGTTAGCAGCGCCGTTGTCTCCACTAATGATCTCGCTAAGCGCACCGCAGCGACCACGAGACGGGGCTGCTAATGGTTAGCACTCCCTTGGTGTTATCTCGTACACATGCCCCAGAATTTACTTGGAAGTACCGACATCCTCAAGTGCTCCTCGCTTTTACTGCACAGATTACATAGGTATAAAACCGAGTGAATTCAAAAATTAATTACAATTTGGAATTTTAGAAGTCCTAAAAGCAAGAATAAACTTCAAAATCCAACCATTTTCCTTTGTACCATCATTTAAGTAACTCAGAAGGTATTGTGGAAAATAAATTCATTGAAAATCATCATATAATATTTCCACTTTTTTCCTTTTTTTACAATATAATTTATTTTTATTTTTACTTTACATTATATGTAAGGTTGGCCAGATTGTACATGCATTACATCCCATAAGAATAAAAACAAATTGGAGGGTTACCAGCTTGTTTCAATTTCGTATACACATGCTTTCGTAAAATCAATGTTCAACATCTGTTACACTCGTGATTTATGATTAACTTCATAATTATGGCTTCACACTTGTCAGCTGAAAAATAATGTGAATAGTTTTGTTACTTTAAATCAGGTCTGACGTTTAAATTAGACCTGAGTACTTTAAATTGAATACTTTAAATTAGATCTGAGGCTCTCGAGACACTAATGGCGGCAATTCGTGCATTCGTGCATTCGTAGTTGCAAATGTACGTGTCATTTGTAATTATAGTCTTCGTAGAAGAATATATCCAGTTTGAAGTTTCTTGGTCTTTTGTAGCAAGAATAGAGTACTTGGTTGTAGGATATTATAGAGTAAGATATTCTAGAGTTAAAAGTTTTAATGATATGAACACAGCAACCCTTTATAAAAGGCAAACTACGTTGCACACACAAATCGCATATAATTTATCTGTAATATGAGCGATACACTGCGTAGTAAAGTAACAGAGAATGTTATGCGGTGACTGAAGTAACAATTATGGACACACTTAAAATGGAGTCCATATGTGACAAAGTTGAGAATATCCGTCATACCACTAATACCTTCATAATTAATAAAAAATAATTGATAATTTTCATTTATTAATTTTAATTATATTAAATTATTTTAATAACTGTAGTGAAGTACACTTCTCAAAGATGCATTAGAAGTGCGAAAGGGAGTGAAGTAAAACAGAACGAATAAATGTGTTACGGACAATAGTGTTTCATTCCGAATTATGGAAATTGTTTTTCTTTTTTCTCATTTATTGTGATATGTTTACATCCTCGTCTTTAATAAACCACAACGATTCTACTAGGCAACTTGCAGCAAAACTTCATCTTCCTAGACGAGCCGTTGAGTCACTGACGCAGGTACTTATCCGACGACTAGTCAAATGCATCATGGAGCTTGAGCAGTTTGTAAACAAAATAAAACAAAACACGTCTCGCACCGAGGCCCACTAATCCGTGGCTGTCCGTGGCGCGGAGAGGCGAAGTGGCGCAGAACGGCGGCGGCTGCGGCCGTGGCCTCAGCGACCGCCACGCTACGCCGCTCCGATCCGATCCGATCCGATCCGATCCGATCCGATCCGATCCGATCCGATCCGATCCTAGCCTTGCCCAGCGCCGGGCCGGGCGGGACGAGCCGCCGGACGGCCGACCAAGCGCGTCCGCGCCCGGGGCCCGGACGGACGCCGCGCCGCTCGCCCGCCCGCCACTCTGGAGCGCGACCGGTTCCGACAGACGCAGATCCGCCGCACCCGCAGTTCACCGCGTCTCTGCAGATGGAGGGTGACCGTTTCAAGCGCAAAATCAGAACTGGTGGCATCCTTGCAAATTCGGAGCTCGTATCTTCTACTAATGCGGATTGAAACGAAATGTATTTCTTTTCTTTGGATTTCATATTTACAGAATGAGATGAAAACATCTTAGAAATAAAATATGACGTGAATGTTAATTTGCTTGCTTTTTTGGACTCAAACACATTCAGGAAATGGCTATTACCAAGTTGATTTTCTGACCACTACGGAAATGCTGCAATTTTCAAGTGACCGCTCCTGAAGGGAAATTGGGATTTGAAAATAAATTCATTAAAAAAACAGATCAAATTAAATCATAGCCATTTTTAGGCAAGAGAAATATTCGGAGATTTGCTAATCGTTTTTTATAATGCTTTCAGTTCTAGAGCTTAAGAATTTTGAAACAAACTACCAAACTGTTGTTCATTATGGCAACAATTGGTTCTTTCATCGTACTCTGTTCAGACCAACGTGAAATTATTTTTACTGCTCTTAAAACAATTGAGTCATACAGTGCATCGCTTCACTAGCCAATGTCGTATTCGAATATCTGCTAATGCGTAGCAAATGAGAGTTCAGGGAATGCATTTAGTGCTTTGCTTATCACGAGTCATTAGTTTGCTCCATTATCTCTAACAGAAAACTGTAAGCATACTGATAAAAAGCATAATGAAAAACATAAGAGCATTAAAATTAATTATTTCATAGAGAATAAGACCAGCTCTTTCCTCCCACAATTCAGTGTGGCAATAATGAGCGCCCATAAAGCCATCTATGAAGTTTCTACCATTAACATAGAAACCACTTACAATGAAACAAACATAAACAGTGTGATCGCAAAAGCTTCATACAATCGCTATAAAATTTTATGAAACTGTTCAAAATCGTATTTGTAAACTTGAACGAGATTGTAAACATACTTCGAAGTTGTGAAAACGCACGAATTCTAAGCTTTAAAATCGTGATTCGAGATCAACAGGCTATTGTAAAACACGTCCAACATTCAAATAACATCTATAGCTTTTTTAGGCAGATGCCAACCCACTTCCATTGACCATGAATTGCCAATACTGCTACAGAGATGCTCCACTAATCACTCATCGCATAATAACTCGTTCATAACAAAATATTATCAGAGCTATATTACATTTATTTTATTTCCCTGGCTACATTTTTACAGAATTCCTTAATCAGTCTCGTACATTAATAGATTATTATTGGGTTGTGATATTATTGGGTTATGTTTATGTACACAAACCATGGGTTGTACATTCTTTACATACATTTGAATCAATTTAGTAAATCAAATCATTAGCCTGTAGCTATGCGATATTTCCTTTATGTTTATGTTCACAATTACAGTATAATACTTTTATGATCATCTTGAATTCACATTTTTAAGTATTCACATCTAAGTTAAATGTTTATTTGGTTTTCATGGTGCTTTTTGGTTTTCCGCGGTTAGACACGTGACGGACTTATTCTACAGACCATGCTTCGCCAAAACAATTTGCGTCAACCATAAACATAACGTGAGCCCTCGGCTCATTTCTTAGCGTGCTCGCTTTCTACGACGCAACCCCGGGTTAGATTCCCAGCCGGGCCAAAAATTAATTTTGGGCTTTCCTTGCAATGACCCGGTATCTTTTGCTGTGTGACAACGAGAAAGCTCACTTCTCAGGTTGAGGAGATCAGCATACAGCGTAGGGATGGATATGTGCTAACCACACGTACCCCTTAACCCATGGCCGCAAGGTCGGGACGCTGCTGGTAGGCCTTCGCTCTTAAAAAGACATACATACATACATACATACATACATACATATATACATACATACATACATACATACATACATAGACTTGACTTTCATTAGAACTCACAAGTTCCACGGTTATAAATTCCGATCGAATATTTTTGTTATCAATCCTATACAGAACATTTTGTAGATAAGTGAGTTCCAAGTAGAATTTCTCGGCGTTCTCGTCGTATGATATCTCTCATTCCATCCTCTTTCATATCATACCATCACATATACATGAAATTATGTATCTATACCACATATAATAATGCTTGGGTATTGACATAATATGTTAATCCATCAAGGCTGCCTTGTTTATACACGACACATGACGACCGACAGGTCGAGAAATGTCGAACTAAGCACTGAATCTCTAATTTTTGATGAGGAGAAGACGTGAACCATGAAGAGTATCCTCGTCCTCGTTTTGCGTTGGAAGCTGAATTCGTGTCATACGGAAGTTGACTACTACCTTTTATCCTGTTCATTGATTTTCTATGTTCTATGTAAACATTTACTATGAAGTCGTAAGCTTCTGCGGCCAGAGTCATGTGGGTGATCTGGGCTCTACGGGTGACGCCGCGTCGAAGGCTGTATTGCCGACGTTTCGACCATCCTGTCGTGGGCTTCCTCGCTCGTCCGTCTCACCAGGAAGGTCTTCCATTTTTGAATATGCATTCTAAAACCTCACTTCTAAATAAAACAATCAACCAACAGGTGAAATATTCTAGGGAACAATTTACATTTCCGACTCCTTTCTTTTACAGAATCTGTGTGTATTATATTGCAGTTAACAACACTGTCCCGACTTCCTGCTCTCACATAGCTATTACCGTGGCTATCAACTTTATCTCTGTATCCACCAGCGAGCTCTCACTACCATGACCAGCCAGCGAAAAAAGAAAACAATTTCCATAATTCGGAATGAAACCCTATTGTTGAACCACATTGTCCGTCCGTGCCGGCCGCCTCGCCTTGGTCGCCTTGTACGCTCCGCCGCCACCTCACTCCTTTCGCACTTCTAGCACGCGCCATCCGCTTGCTCGCCAGATTGAGCGGCCACTGTACTTCACTACGGCCGGGCTCATCCTTATTAAAATAATTTAATATAATTAAGGAGTCTGCCTTCCAAAAAAGTCTCCGCCAACATTGCCACTTATTATTAGCCACTGACATTAGTTGTCTCAATATTATTCATTTAGTTTTTTTCTTAACTCTCAAATATTCTGCGAGGGTTTTCGGCAGTAAGGTTCATCATAGTTCAGATTGGTTCGTGAGCAGACTTTGGAACAGAAAGAATGAAGAATTTTACTCTTTTTCTCAACTAGAAGAAAGGCAGAATGTAATGTGAGTACACAACTATCGAAGATGAAACGCTTTTATTGACACTCGTGAAATTACAATCAATACTTCGTTTGACTGTACAAAGATGCAATCAGTTAATGGAGGTGCGTGTGGGTATCCATCTAAAATTAGCTCGATTTTTATATTGCCAACTTTTTCTATCCGATTTTTCTTTCATTCTCCCTTCTTGGGT